TCTCAAAATTATGTATTTCTAGACTAAAAATAAACTATTCATATTATGAATAGATACATGAGTTTACTCTTAAGGATACATAATTGAATAATAGAGAACAAAGTAAAACCGTAAATGATGAACTTATAAATTCTAACCCTTAGGATTAATAATTGGAGAGGGTTTAGGGGGTCTAGAGTGATTTAGGAGTGTACAACCTTTTCAATCTTACCTAAAGCTAAAAAACAAATCGATGGAGGTTACAACACCCAAACCTCCTTCTGGCTACGCCAATGGTAATGAACGTTTAAGCAATCATCGCAGTTGAAAAATAAAATTGCGGTAAAGTTGATTTATAAATGAAACAGTCAATGCATTCACTCACATAGAAGTTCGCAGATACAAGCTTATTCAGGGAACACAAATTACTTTGTATGATTTGTTTGTTTTCTTCCTTTAGTTATCATTTTTAACTTTTGAGCATAGTTTAATAAGCATTAATAATATTTTATTCCCATGCTATTATTTTTTATTGTGATTAAAACGCTTAAATATGTATATTCTTTTTATCATACCGTTTCTCTTTAAGGTACCTAAATAATAAATTATAATACTATAAGATCTATGATAATAACCAAATAATTTATATATCTTAACACATCTGTGTCTAATAATAACTCGTTTTAAATAACCTCTTCTATTTAAATAAATTATGTCTATGTAAAACAACCGATTTGTATAATTTATTTTTCTATGTCTTCCTTCATTTATTTTTTCATATTCAGTCACGTTTTACTTTTTGACTTTGTGATTTACCTGATGATGAATTTTTAATTCGAAACCGGTCGTACAACACACACACATCATAATACTCCGGGCGACGCATAATAATTAATTAATTTATATATTTATTTACGAGTATTAATCATTTAATAATTGTATTTTTACTTTATTATTTTATTATACAATATAAAAATAAACATTATTGTAAAATCAATACGTTCCTTGCTCTATCCGTAAGCTAGAAATACAAATAAAAAAAAAACAAAATTAACATTGCCACGTTTTTTTTTCGTTTCCTGNATTTACGAGTATTAATCATTTAATAATTTTATTTTTACTTTATTATTTTATTATACAATATAAAAATAAACATTATTGTAAAATCAATACATTCCTTGCTCTATCCGTAAGCTAGAAATACAAATAAAAAAAAAACAAAATTAACATTGCCACGTTTTTTTTTCGTTTCCTGGAAAATTTTCAATGTGGATTGTCGAGTTTTTGCACTGAACATTTTTGGCAGAAACCGCAGTGACGCCCACTGATAGGATCAGTTATAATTTTTTTTCGCACTTTATTTATATTTTATTTTACAACGCCTAATTAAGTATGATTTAGTATAATATTTTATAGTATACGATATGATTTTATTATATGTCCCACCTGTGCAAGTAACGAGATAAACGGAAAGTAACCGTTAGTTATTATACGTATACGTTTGTTTATTCATTTGTTAACAAAACACACCTGTTAACTTCAATATTGTAACATGTAAATACGTGATAAAATTCGATTTGATAGATATAATTAATGTATTTATTTTCACATAAATTACCTAATCAAGTAGTTAGGCACCTAATACTACGATTTTTCATCAGTCGATTATTAATTTTTACCGATCTTTATCACTGAACAATAACGTCAATGTTATTTGCAACATATCAGATTCAGTTCGATTCCATCGACTGCGAGTGATCAAAATTTAACTTAATCGGTAAAATATTTATTTAAATTGCAAATGCTTTTTTAACATTTAAACATACATACAATAATAAATCGATTATATTTTGTGTATAGGTAAGTGCCGTTTGAAATTTGATCATGAAACAGAGTTATATTTTTTATTGTATCGCGGTTTTAGTATTATATTCAACTGTTGGAAATGCCTTTAGTCTAATGGACCTAAGTGGACCATCGTGCTCAAACGAATGTTGGAAAGGTGGCGATACTGCTAAGATGTTGATGTGTAAGAATAATTTGTGTCCCGATAAAGCTGTTGACCTGTGTACTTGTTGTTGTCCTCCTGGAACTCCTGCTGGAACTCCTGTAACANGTATAGGTAAGTGCCGTTTGAAATTTGATCATGAAACAGAGTTATATTTTTTATTGTATCGCGGTTTTGGTATTATATTCAACTGTTGGAAAGGTGGCGATACTGCTAAGATGTTGATGTGTAAGAATAATTTGTGTCCCGATAAAGCTGTTGACTTGTGTACTTGTTGTTGTCCTCTTGGAACTCCTGCTGGAACTCAACAAATGTCACGGCAAATAATATATAAGTTATTTGTAAATTATTATCAACTATTTGAAAATGTGTAAACAGAAATTTAATATGTGAATTTTAAAAGTTACAGAACTCGAAGCCTTTGGGTAAACCTTTGATAAATTACACTAGATATGACATTAAAAAACCATGTTCTTTAACAAAATCTTTGTTTTTTTATTTGTTTAAGTACCATACGAATTCATGACCTTTTTAAAATACTCATTAATTTGTCCTCGCTGAAGATTTTTACTATCGTAAGCTCATAGAGGTACTTACGTATAATAAAACTGTTAATGTGAATAAGTAAGTACCCGTCGTAAGATTAGTGTATTTTTATATAGTGTTGTATTATATTCAACTACCGGAAGTGGTAACAGGTACCTATTGCTTTAATAATGTGGACGCTGGTAAATAAATCAACATCAATTTTTCTGATTCTAAGCCGACGTCATAATATACCTAAACAAACTGGCTAAAACTCTTTGGATACAAAACTATCATACTGCCTGTAGTAGGAATTTTACAACATCCAGTACATATTTATGAATCGTGAAAAAGAAAACAACCGAAAAAAATACACAATTTATTTACTTAAAAACCAATAGGTACCATAATATTATTTTAACAAATTGATAAATAAACTAACAAATCACTTAAAAAAATAAGATTTGTTTATTAAATACAAATTGTATACTTCCATTAGAATTCTGGAAGTATCTAAAAATAAAAATTCTCAGCAAAGAATGTATTGGTTTGACAAAGATGTTTATTTTTGTTTTTGTTTTAATGTGAACACTTTTTCTACCAGAAAGCTAACTTTGACGTATACGTTGTAGACCCTTTTCTGAAAGATTTTCTTGGGAAAATACTTTAGGGGTCATTTTTTGATTTTCCTAAGAGTTTTCTATTATTAAACAAATATTATTAAAGAAAAAATATAATGTCTATTTAATTATTTTACAATAATAAAACATATATATTGTTGACACAGCATCATTATTAATTGAACTCCTCTCAGAATCGTTTTTTCGTAAGCAATGGTTTACCGTTGCTTACAGTTATACATTAAATTACCCACAACAATGACTGCACCCATGCCGATTATCCTAGAACGTTTTTTTTTTTTTTTTGTAAACCTATTTATATATTTGTATACACTTTTTTATTTAAATATTAAAATGTCTAGTTATTTTATAATTTATAATAAGGTATATAAATCTCAGTACCTTATTCAATTCAATTATTTCTCTTTGTTTAAAGTCAGATGTCAGACTTTATTCGTTTAACATAACATCTATTATGTGCTGTTTTATATTTATAGCATTCTGTTACATCTAAATTTAAATATTATTAAAATTCTAACAAAAAAATAAATACATATTTTAATATTATATAAATCAATAGAGTATTACAAAAAGGTTATAGGTTATTTTATATTTATAAAACATGGTAAACGATAATCATATGGAACAATTTTTTTTGAAATTCTTTAATTTCTTCATCAATGTCTATATTTTAGATTCTGAGTGTAGCGAAGAATGTATCGGTTTTACAGTTTCTTTTTTTGAAAATTCTATAAGAAATCTTGCTTCGATATGTATAAACTAAAATGAAATATTGTCCAAATAGTACTTTTAGGAGATCATTATTTAATTTTTTAAGCAGTTTTCATAATATCTAATAAAAACCAGGATAAAACATAAGAAAAACGGGAATTTTACGAAAATAATGCTTTTTTATTTTTCAATTTATTATTTGTTGTTAAAATATTTGAAGAGACTTGAAATTTGACCAGGAAAATTATATTTGCCTTTTCTATGCATATAAACATTTTTAAAACATTTAAGTCATTTTTAAGCTTTTAATATATTGATTGAAATTCATTAACTTGAAATTTGGACAAAAACTTATATTTCTTTTTTTAGATATGGTAAAATTTTCAAAAAATCTAAACCATTTGTGAACTATTTATAAATTTTAATTTTGCGAGTTTTGTACACAATTTTATAGTATGTGGCGAGATTGTTAGACTTAACAAAAATGCTTGAAAATTTAACAGGAGGTTTATTGAGAGTTAAATTTTGTGGTAAAAAAAAATAATTTTAATACCAAATTTTGACGAAAATTGTTAAATTGAGTAAAAAATACGTAGACCAAAATATTTAATTTTTAAATTTTTTGTTTAAACATTATGTATATTGCCGATTTAAGAACGATAGTGAAGTCAGAATTTAGGAAACTCACTTAGTTTCGAAATTATGTCTTTTTGAAAATCTGATGTTATAAAATGTTATGACTCTATATTGTTAATATGTATTATGTTTGTTGTAGTCTAGAGGTGCTACCTACTTGATTATCATCCTAGAGATGGCGAGTTTAAACCCGTGTTTCGAAAAAGCTTATTGTTTTACAAAGATGTTTATTTTTTTTGATATTTCCGTTAAAATAACGTTTTTCGTNTGCTTGAAAATTTAACAGGAGGTTCATTGAGAGTTTAATTTTGTGGTAAAAAAAAAAATTTTAATACCAAATTTTGACGAAAATTGTTAAATTGAGTAAAAAATACGTAGACCAAAATATCTAATTTTTTAAATTTTTTGTTTTAACATTATGTATATTGCCGATTTAAGAACGATAGTGAAGTCAGAATTTAGGAAACTCACTTAGTTTCGAAATTATGTCTTTTTGAAAATCTGATGTTATAAAATGTTATGACTCTATATTGTTAATATGTATTATGTTTGTTGTAGTCTAGAGGGGCTACCTACTTGATTATCATCCTAGAGATGGCGAGTTTAAACCCGTGTTTCGAAAAAATAATTTTTGCATTTGTTTTTTCCCTTTTACCTGAACAGAGAAAAAACAAAAGAATTTTGGGTGTACCTAGAGACCCAAGCCATCGTTCACTAGGACTATTTCAATTGAAAAAATACGTAAAAAAGTTGTACGAACTTTTCTACCAGAAATTTTGCTTCATTGTATCAATCATAGCACCATTTTTGAAAGAAAATATTATACATATGGCACTCTAGGGAGTCGTTTTTTACTTTCCTAGGAATTTTCATAATAATAGGGGGAAACAGGAAAAAAACGAAAAATTACAAATGCTATCGAAGTAACAAGATTCTGATCAAGGGTAATCTAATACTATTTATTTAAGTCAAAGTACGCTGAATTGTATTTATTTATTTTACTTATGTATTTTTCGCCATTTGTTCGTATTAGTTGGGTTATTATTTTGTTTGGATGACATGAAAACAATTTTTTTTTAGTTCATCTATTTTTAGTTACATACGATTTAATAAATTTTTTGTAATTGCGCAGAATATAATAATGCAGACATAGGTAGGTAGGTAGTGAGTTTGTGTTAAATTTTTGTACACATTGTCAATATAACATAGCAACTGACCGAAATTCACAATGTACAGCACGCGGGTCACGGCTGCAATCGGCATACTGCAAATATTGATAAACCTAACCTAACCTAACCTAACCAGTGTAAATAGTGTAATACATACAAATACAGAAATCATACGTCAAATACGGTATAGGTCGTGCTAAGCGGTCCCACACAAAGAATTTGGCCGAGTGCGAGGTTTTGTTTAGGGCATTATTTTTATTGTGTATAGGTCTACTGTTCTCGTCTTTCCATCAGGGATAAATAATATTTATTGTTTGATAATTTATCATTACCTTTTAATTTTTGTTTTTATTCATATAATTATATAACTTTTATAATTGATTAAGGCTCGGATTGTCAATAACGCATTAATTCGCCAACTATAAATTGAATAAACTTATTTGGCGAATTGTCGCCCGCAAATGCAGTACGGCGGTGGGTGCGGCATGCGCACATTGACAATTATTAAAAATAATAATAAAAAATAATACTCTCTATCATATTAATATTATAATTAGCGATGAGGACTATCAAATACTATTCGTTAGATTGAAAAAACTATAGTATTTTACGTCCAAAACTTATATGTTTAACTTAAGAATTAAAAATGAAAGCCATAAAACAGTGTGACCTACCATGTTCGACAGATTTTTCTAGGTGTTAATATAAAATTTTCTATTTTTTTTTTTTTTAATCAGCGTTTCTTCGAGAGAGATCATCGATTTGGAAAAAACTTAAATTTTTATTTTCATCCCCTAAACACCCATAAAAAAAAAACAATTTATTCACTTTACAAAATTTTTAAAATAGCCAATTTGTAAAAGATATTATTCTAAAAGTTTTAATGTATCACACATTCATATCCGATGAATAGTTTCTTAGTAATAGCCATTTCAATTTCTAGAAAAAAAGTGTGAAAATAATTAATATTCAATAATAATCACAATTTCCTTATCACAACAACAGTTTATTGAATATTAGCTGTTTTTACACTTATTTTCTAGAAATTAAAAAGCACTTATAATCTAAAATAACCAACATGCCTAACAAAATGTTGACAATTATGTTATCAAAAAAGATTTTTCCTTTTCAAATTTTATTAGGTTATTTATTTATTTTAATTATGTATTTATAACTTATCACCATTTGTTTGTATTAGTTAGTTTATTATTTTGGTTGAATGACACGAAAAAAAAATGCCTAACAATTCACCATAACTAACGTAATATTATCAAATTGGTAATGTGATCTACTTGTTTAATCAGCCAAATTATAACTGTTAAAGTAGTATCAATGGATGCCATCTTCCACTACGCCATTGTACATTTTATCATTTACTTATTGCATTTTTTTATATACACAAATTGAAAATTTAATTTTTTTTTTTAAAAAATAATACAAAAATAATTTCATAGACCAAATTAAAATAAACTGATTGTATATTTATAAAATTAATGGATAATATAATTATTATAATTCAATTAGTAACTACAAATTAAAATAGAACAAAATGGCAAGTTATTATGTTAATAAATAAAAAAAAAAGATTGCATGATAAAGAATAATACAATATATAATATATATTGTTTATTATTTATTTTATTTATTTAAATGCTACTTAATAGGAGCTCCTATTGATAAATATTGATATATTGTATTATTCTACACCTTCTGTGGTAACTGTGAATAACTTCTCTAACCTAATAGGTTAGGAGCTAACCTATTATAGAATGGTATATACTCGGGTATTAAACATTGTTTTGAATCTGGAGGTGGGTCTTTGATAAGGAAATCAGCAAGATATGGAGCAGGCAATAATAATATCCCCTTGCTGGCGAGTTCATTTAAAGGACAGGGAATTTGTACATGGCCTTGATCAACAATGCAATGAGTAGAATTCAATATTTCTCTGAATAGAAAGAAAAAAAGTTAGCATAAAACAAATAATTAATTACCAAATAAAATATGTTTACTTTGTATCTAATATAACCCCACCACCTGCTTCTATAAGACGTTTCAAAGCTTGGTATCTAATTTCAGAAGTCATTAGTACAGCTTTCATACCACTGAATGCTGTATAATGGCCCGAACTAATTTTTGAACGCCAACGATAGCCTGCTCCATGCAACGGTGTTGGCAAACATAAATTACTCTTAGGATTACCCCATTCATATTTGTCTTCCTGCAACAAAATATGTAACAAAAAAACTTAAAACCAGGGCATACAATACATTTAAGAAATTTCAATTTTTAAATATGAACATATTATAAAAAAAAATATTTAGATATTTTTATAGGTTATACAAATTTTGTAAATTTATAATTTAGTAATTTTATTAACCGGCAAAAAACAATTTTCTTCTAAGCACGCATCAATGTAGCTTGGATGTAAAATCCATTTTCCAGCGGCAAGTGAACATAAATATTTTTCACTTTTATTGGGTAGATGCGTGAGTATGTGAGTGACATCTTTTGAAAACATACTACTTCGTAATACTTGAGCACCAAGTTTTTCAATAGCATCCTCATACCTTTGACGTTCCTTTTGAAACAAATCAATATTTACAAATAAGATTATAAAATTGAATTTGGAAATAAGGACTAGGTATTAAATAAAAGATTTAATTACATGAGAATTCACACTGGTTAATATGAACTTTTTATTGCACTCAGACAGTCTTTTTAACTGAAATTTAGGAAATAAATACATAAACATTAATTTTTACTTGATATATTTCAAGAAAAATGGTTAAATTACTCTTGCTTTTTCTTGTTGTTCAGTTGGGTCTTCCCATCCAACAGAAAACTGTTGCGAAGATTCCACAACTCTTTCTTTGAATAAAGAGTGTTCTAGTTAAAAAAATAAAATAAATATAAATATATTAAATAACTAGTATGCCCCGGCGCTAAAGTTAATATATAAAAAATTTTTTTAGGGGGAGGGCGACATAAAATAAAAAATTTGAAATTTTACTACCCATCTATTTTTTTTAAAAAAATATTCATTGTTTTACAAAGATGTTTATTTTTTTTGATATTTCCGTTAAAATAACGTTTTTCGTTAGCAATGGTTTATTGTTGCTTATAGATATACATTATATTCCCTTTTGTATTCTATCTTCCCAAATTCCCACCCACAACAGTAGATGCTCCCATTCCATTTTTCTAGGACAGATTTTTAAACTTAATGTTATTATTAGAATTATGTATATTTTTTAAATAATATTATCTTGAACAAAACATAATTGATACAATATTCATTAGTCATTACATATTTATTAATAGTGTTATCAACAATAATATAATTTGAATGGTAATTTAATAAAAATAAACATTATTGGTTTATTTTTGAACACTCCAACTTTTTGAATTTCAATCATATTTTTGGAAAATATAAGTGCATTACACTTGAAAGAAAAAATTATATGTTAATATCAATTAAATTCTATTAATTTTGAAACTAAAATTGATTAATATCACAATTCTTGTTCTGTTTTTAGCTTCTTTTTCATGTCTGTAATCTGTGTCAAATTCTTTTTTAAATAAATAATTTGTTTAGTTTCATTACTTTGTCAGTTGGTTTTCTAGTTATTTTTCACTGCAGTAGGTGTTTGTGTGGCTATGCGAAGATGAACATTGTCCCAGGAAGTTAATTTTTATATTATTAACACAGCGATGAACATTGTCCCAGGAAGTTAATTTTTATATTATTAACACAGCTTATGGCAACAGATTTCACGAGGGTGTTGTCTTTCACAAAATTGGCACTTCCATTACTTCAAATGCGGCCATGTGATGAGTGCCATGGGTTTTATACTGGCTCTTTTATGTTCTATTCCTCAGTACATCTTCTGTAGTCACCGTACTTCGCATTTATACTTCCTGGCAATCTCCGATATTAACTGTTCTTTCTCTGGTGTGAGGTCTTCAATGTTGTGAGAGACATCAGTGTTGATTAGGGTCATTTTAGCCGACTGGATGATAAGATTGACCGCTATTTGATTCATTATTCTTTTTATTTATATCCTTGGATTATAATAGGTATAGAATGGAAAATCACTTGTTAGAGGCACCGTGTGATGGTCTTACCTTGCTCCCGTATTTCAACATAAATAGAACTTAACAA